CATAGTTTAGGGTCCTTAAGGAAACGTGCAGGATTTATATCATCAACAGAAGGAACCCTTCTAGCAACGCCTAAAGTAAGCCCCAAGCCCTTGAAACCTCGAGACCACTCCGAGGCCGCAGCTTGTGGCTGGAGAGCCTGGCGCTTATATAGAGCTGCTCTAGTAAGAGGGTTTAGGGTTTAGGGTTTGGGGTTTAGGCTTCAGGGTTCAGGGTTCAGGGTTCAGGGTTTAGGGGTTAGGGGTTTAGAGGTGTAGGGGCGTGGGGGGTTTTGAGGTTTTAAGATTTCCCTGGTGCTTTTTGTAGGCTTTTGGGTTTATGGGCCGAGAGGGTTTGGAGTTGCGAGAGTTTGTGTTTCGGGTTACGGGTATGATTTGGGTGTATGATACCCTTATGGGACCAGATCCTGTTTGTATAGGGGTTTAGGGTTTAGGGTTTAGGGTTTAGGGTTTAGGGTTTAGGGTTTAGGGTTTAGGGTTTAGGGTTTAGGCTTCGGGACCAACATGGCTTAGGGCACTTGTTCAGGGCATGGGAGCTAAGCCCTAAGCCCTAAACTCAAAATCCCTTTCCTAAACCCTAAACCCTAAACCCTGAACCCTAAACCGTAAACCCTCAACCCTAAATCCTAAAACTTTAAACGGCCCTATTCCCGAAACCCTAAACCCTAAACCCTAAATCCTGAACCTTAAACGGCCGTATTCCCTAAACCCTAAACCCCTAAACCCTAAAGCCCTAAAGAAGAAGAGCACTGAGGCCTGACACCGTCATCCAGGTGCAAGGCTTCGTCATGTGCACGGTCCTCAGGACTTTAGGGTTTTAGGGTTTAGGGTTCAGGGTTTAGGGTTTAGGGTTTAGGGTTTGGGATTTAGGGTTTAGGGTTTAGGATTTCGGGTTTAGGATTTAGGGTTTAGGGTCGAGATCGTTTGCTTCGAGGGTTGCTGCAGCCTTTTGCAGGGAGGTTTTTGTTTTAGATTCGGTGTTACTATGTGGGGGCCTAATAATTACCTATACTATTTTGGGGGCTCCTTATTGTAACTATAGTATAAAGGACCCCAAAACCGTATGCTAATTATTATGGCCTGTACACTACCTTTGTGTCTTTACTTCTGCTTGGGGGCTTTTTGAGGTGCTTAGGAGTTTAGGAGCTTTTGGTGTTCCAGGGCCTTCAGCACTTCAGGGTTCGACGTATCCCGAGTTTGAGAGAGAGACGGACGGAGAGGGCTCAGACAATCGAGGGTTTCACGTAGGGACCCTGAGAATTAGACTAGGGTTTTGGTGTGTGTTATTGCAACTTTATTAATTATATAGAACTATTTGTTCAGGTTCCTGTAGCTTGAATATCTTTCGTAAGTAAATGTGCATATAACAAATCAAACACACACACACACACATTTCAGCAGGAGGACTTACCATATTTAATTCTTTTTTTGGGATACAGGGTTTTGAGATTAGGCTCGGCAAGGTGTGGCTTTCCACCCGACGAAGCCGAGTTTGCTGGCCGGTGGGACCTACAACGGCGAGCTGCAGATATGGCCCGGCGCTCGGCCTAACCCTATAGTAGAAGCCCAAAAGTTGGAAACTCAATAGCCTCCATCCTTAAGAGTCATGTATATTGAATCCCAGCACTATTTGTCCTTAATCCGGTTTCCAACTTTTTGGGGCTTACCATACGGGTTGAGGGTTTAGGGTTTAGGGAACCCTAAGCCCTTAAACCCGAAACCCTAAACCTTTGGGGTCACACGCAAGCACTGAAGCCCCAAACCCCCCATAGATCCCCCATAATATAGGGGCCTAAATATTATCCGATACTATTTTGGAGATTCTTTGTTATAATTATGGTATAATGGGCTCCAGAACCCCATTTGCATTATTAAGGCCACTGCATTATACCCTAAACCCTAAACCCGAAACCATAAGCTAACAAACTAAACCCAAAGCCCCAATTAAGCCCGAAGCCAAGAACCACCGTAAAGTTGAGAGCTTGAAGCTTTAGCCTCCCTCGCCGGCAACCGGGAAGATTCGGCATTGAGCTCGGGGGAGGCTTGGGTACTGTCTGGCGGGGCTTAAAAAAGGCCTCTAAAGGCTTCTTGAAGGGTTCTTTTAGAGGTCCTTTAAGGAGGCCTCCACAGGCCCTAAACCCTAAACCCTAAACCCTTAAGGGGGTTCCTTTAAGGGTTCCTTTAAGGGGCTTCCTTTAAGGGTTCCTTTAGGTGTTCCTTTGAGGGTTCCTTTAAGGGTTCCTTAAGGGGGTTCCTTTAAGGGGTTCCTTTAAGGGCTTCGGCCTTAGCTTCAGGCTTCGACTCAGCTTGCGTTCCATCAGTGATAGAGATCATAAAGAAAGTTTTTAAAAACCGATGGGGGTTTTTAAAAACACCCGATCAGTGATAGAGAACAGAACCATAAAAAGTAGCGATAACGACCTTATGAACGTTTTGATTCTTACGCTTATTATTATCATTGTTATTGTTGTCATTATTATTGTTATTATCATTGGCATTAATAGTACTCGTATTGTGCTTACGGTTATATGGTTCCCATGGTCACAAAAGAAGGCCACACCCACACACACAGAGAGATGTCGCTGGGGACCGTCTACTTGGAGGTTCATGGGTAGTTATAAGTGGAGTTACAAGTCCCCTAATATGGGTTATAATTACAGTTACCCTACTTATAACTTCACTTATAACTACCCATGAACCCTAAACCCTAAACCCTAAACCCTATAGAACCCTTTAAAGGGACCCCTAAAGGAACCCCATAACCCCACTTGTAACTACCCATGAACCTCCAAGTACTCCAAAGTTGGGGGAAATCCTAAACCCTAAACCCTAAACCCTAAACCCTAAACCCCTAAACCCTAAACCCTAAACCCTAAACCCTAAACCCTAAACCCTAAACCCTAAACCGTGATAGGGACCGTCTACTCCAAAGTTCGGGGAAATCCAAAGCTCCAAAGAATGAGGCCTGGAGGCGAAGCCCCAAGGGGGGATGGGTTTTCTAAATCACGGTTTAGGGTTTAGGGTTTAGGGTTTAGGGTTTAGGGGTTTAGGATTTAGGGCTTCTGTATGAGGGCGCCGTAGTATTTGGGGCTCAGAAAGGGGCCGCGATTTGGAGAGCTACCCATATCGTAGATCGAAAATGGAGCAGCCTTTTTTGTTGTGGCGGTCTTTGGAGGGGCCTCAAACCATAACCGCAGCTTAACTCTAAAACTTGGTGTTCGAGGTGGGCAACAGTGCCTATATATGAGAGGTCTGAACAAGTCTACGAGTCGTCAACCCGTCCCGTTGCATCTGCAGATTTCAGGGGGTGCTTTCGGTCGCCGCATCGTGGGCGCACTTGGGTTCTGTGCCGAGGATGCAGGGCTTAGCATCCCGAAATAGGTATAGTGCAGCCTGACTATTTCCTATGACGTTTCTTGAGTCTTGAGCTTCTTTGTTCCTTGTTTCGGTACCATATATGTGGCAAAACGAAGCGTCTAAGTCTAACTATTAAGGCTCTCCAGTATTGTCTGTGACTTCTGCACGGTTTCGGCAGGAATACCGGCGCCGGTGAGCTGGACCCGCCCCTTGACAGCAAATCAGACCTTACGAAGGACCGACACAGATTCTGCAAGGGGGTTCCTTTAAAGGTTGCTATAATCTATTTTGTATAGTGTAAAGGTTGCTGAACTGATGACGAACAGGATCACCATCACGATGGTGATGATGGTAATGATGCTGATGCTGATGGTGATGATTCACGGTGCGGCCGGTGTCGGAGCAGAAGATGACTTCGGTGATAAGTAGCAGAAGAAAATGACAAGGAGGAGACTGATAATGATGATGAGCCGGCTGTTGCTGCTGCTGCTGCTGTGGCGGTGGTTGTGAGGATGGGCCTGGCACAGATTTTGATCGGGAAGAGCATTGCGTTTGCTTTACGATGACGTAGCTTGTTGGGGAGCCAGAACGGGTGCTGATTTGGAGAAGTATTGTTGATAGTATCACTCCTGCATTATCCATAATAAGGAACATACCATTATTCCCATAGTTTGGGTCCTTACGGTCATGCAGGATTTGTATCTTCAACCGTATCTGCATGGTTCTTTCAGCACAAGTGATGCGGTTCAAACCTAGCAAGCCGAGGCCTTGGCCATTGCAGCCTTCAGTCTGCTTCTTCCTACTAAGCCCACACCCCTAAACCCTAAGACCTAAACCCCTAAACCCTAAACCCTAAACCCCAAACCCCTAAACCCTAAACCTTTTTCCCTAAACCCTAGACCCTAAACCCTAAACCCAAACCCCAAACCCCCAAGCCGAAGCCCTGGTTTCAAGTCTGCAGACACTGAGGGCCAGCCTTTCATGTTTTTAAGGGCGCTGGGTTTATTTCTTGAAGCTTCATAGGTAGTAAATTAGGATCCCTTTTAGGGTTCCTTAAAGGGGTCCATAAGGGTTTCTATAGGGTTTCTATACGGGTACTATATGGGTAGTTCTCTAAATTTTGCTCCCCTTTTTAGGTCCCCCAATATAGTACGGCACCCTTATAAGAAGGAAGGGGCCCTACTTTCGAGACCTACCCTCACAGGCAGTTTAGCCAACTATAGAATTGACCCTAAACCCTACACCCTAAACCATAAACCCTGAACCCTTAATCCCAGACCCTAAACCCCTAAAGCCTAAACCCTAAACCCCTAAACCCCAACCCCTAAACCCCATAGAATTGAAGGTTTGGGGCTTGGGGAGTCGAGCTCAGTGAGGCTACTTTGTGAGTGCTTCTTGAATGGAAAGGGTTTAGAGGTTTTGGGGTTTTGGGGTTTAGGGGTTTAGGGGTTTAGGGGCTTAGGGGTTTAGGGGTTTGGGGGTTTAGGGGGAAAGGTTTAGGGGTTTAGGGTTTTAGGGTTTTAGAGTTTAGGGGTTTGGCGGTTTAGGGGTTTGGGGGTTTAGGGTTTAGGGTTTGGGGCTTAGGGCCCCAATCACCCACCCTAAGCACTAAAGCTCCAAACCCTTGAACTTTAATAGTAACCCGTAACCTCTTATTGCAACCCATGTTGGCAACCTTTTGGGGACCCTCCCGAACAGACTGGAGGCTGGTAACCTCCTCATCCATCGACGACTACTTCCACCGAGAGGCGTGCCAGGGCGTGGGGTGTCCCAATTTCTAAGCCCTAAAACCCTAGGCCCTAACCGGGTAGGGCTTTTTCGAAGCATCTAAATCCTAAAGCACCAGGCCCTAAACCGGCAGGGCTTTCCGAAGCACTGAGCATTGGTGAGCTTTACCCGAGGCTGAATGAAACTTGGGTGCTTCATGCCCTGATTCCTTACCCTTCCAGCGCTATTCCGGAAATCTACGACTTGCCTGCAGAGCTTCTCAGTGGTGGAGTTGATCCAGGTGCTCTTGGTTCATGCAGCATCAAGACGGATGCCTTAAAACCCTACACCTCCTAACCCTAAACCCTAAGCCCGAAACCCTAAACTCTTAAACCTTAAAACAGCCCGGCATTTCGAATCGAAGTCCCCTTTTTTGCCAGACGCATCCCAGCGCCTAAAATAGGCTCCCGAAATAGTATAGGGGTCTTCGTATTCTCTTTATCTTCGCCATAAGGTACAGTTATATAGTTCTTAGTACCCCTAGTTCCCCATACATGTATAGTATGAAGCTGCCCAAATCCAATTCTAACTGCTCAGGCCGTTGTTAGAAGCAGAGAGCCATGGCGCTGAGTTTTGCAGTTCTTCCTTCTCATCGACCCGAGTTGCTGCGAGCTCCTGCTGAAGGACTCTCGGTTCTTAGGGGTTTAGGGGTTTAGGGGTTTAGGGGTTTAGGGGTTTAGGGTTTAGGGTTTAGGGGTTTAGGGTTTAGGGTTTAGGGTGTCTGTCCGTTTTTTTGTCTGGCTGTCTTCCTGTCTGTCCTGCTCTCTTTTTGTTCTTCTCTCTCTCTCTCACGCACTCTCGCTCGCATGCTCTCTCTTACTCGTTCTTCTTTGCCTCTTGCTCTTTGTCTCTCCGTGTGGCTGTATAGGCAAGGTCAACAGCGTCGATGATCGCGGCAGGCACGAGAGAGCGAGGCGAATCTATATGAACAGGACCGTAAGTGGAATTTCGGTGTATGTTTGAGGACATCAAGCTCCCGCCGCATCGTCCCAGCATGCTGCCCAGCTGGTGGTGCCCGCAGCCGCGGCTGTTGCGGTGGGAGTCACGGTGCGCAGGCAGAGGGCTGTGCAGCGCGCCCCGGTGCAAGCAGAAAAAAAAGCTCAAGGGCACAGGAGCTGCTGCCCCATGATCCACACAGTCCACATTGTACTACAGCATCATTGTACTACTATAGTCAGTATGATGGTTATAGTACCATGCTATCAATATAGTATTATTATCTAGTCATCATAGTAGTAGTTAGTGTAGTAGTGGTATTATTGGCACTATTATTGTTTTATTATCATTATCATCATCATTATTATTCTTATCACTGTTACTATTACTAATATTATTAGTATCAGTGTTAGAATTCTTGTTATTCTTGTTAGTATAGTACTCTTATAGTGTTCTCATGGTACCACGCGAGCCCCTCCGAGGCCTCCGTGGTCGTCACGTGAGCCGCGCCGTGGCCGCCGCTCCGGCGGCGCCGGCGCCTCCGGAGCTCTCCGAGGAGCGGAGGAAGATCCAGGCCCAGGTTTCGGGTTTCGGGGTTCCTCTAAATTAAAGGGATCTAAAAGGATTTAGGGTTCAGGGTTTAGGGTTGAAGGTTTAATGTAGGGGTCCCTTTAATAACCCCCCCCCCCTGAGGTTGTTTTGCGCGGGGGTCTCTTGGTGCAGAGTTTGGGTGGGGCGGGGGGGTGGCAATAATAAATCTGCTTCCGTGTCTGGGTTCGTAGTAGCAGCAGTATCAAAACAGTCTGGAACTGCGGTCTGCAAGCTGGTAGTTGAGTGTCCTGTCTGCAGAACTGCACTCTGCTGGCTGAATCTAGGGTCCTCTTGGTCTGAGCTTGTGCTAGTTTCTTAGCCTGGCAACCTATTTTTCGGGGATTTTAGGCGGGGAGCATTTTTATTGTCACCCCTTTTATTATTTCCAACCCTAGGCCCCTAGGCCTAAAATCGCTTGTTTAGGCTAATTTGGCCTTGAACCTCTGCGCAATTGAAAGTAGTCTTCCGCCCAGGCCCTCTGCCCCCGGGAGGTATTTTCATTGTCACCCGAAATATTAAAGGGATCCTAACATTAGGGTTTCGGGTTCAGGGTTTAGGGTTTAGGGTTTAGGGTTTAGGGTTGAGGGTTTCAGGTTTAGGTTCCTTAAAGAACCTACCTTTCTAGAGTTCCTTATTATGATTTCTATATATAGGTCCTTAGAAAGGTAGGTTATTTGGGGTTGAGGTAGGGTTTAAGATCCAGGCCCAGGTTCAGGGCTTCGGGGTTCCTTTAAAGGGATCTAAAAGGGTTTAGGGTTTAGGGTTTAGGGTTTAAGGTTTAGGGTTCCGGGTTCTGAGTTTAGGGTTTAAGGTTCCTTTGAAGGGTTCCTTAAAGGGGATGCTACAAGGACTACTGTCAGGGTTTCGGGTTTAAGGTTTAGGGTTTAGTGTTTAGGGTTCGGGGCTTAGGGTTCCCTTAAAGGGATCTATAAGGGTTTAGCGTTTAGGGTTCCTTTAAAGTGATCTATAAGGGCTTAGGGTTTAGGGTTCCTTTAAAGGGATCTATAAGGGTTGAGGGCTTAGGGTTCCTTTAAAGGGCACTATAAGGGTTTAGGGCTTACGGTTCCTTTAAAGGGATCTATAAGGGTTGAGGGCTTAGGGTTCCTTTAAAGGGCACTATAAGGGTTTAGGGCTTAGGGTTCCTTTAAAGGGATCTATAAGGGTTTAGGGTTTAGGGTTCCTTCTAAAGGGCACTATCAGGGTTTTAGGGTTTAGGGTTCCTTTTGAAGGGCACTGTAAGGGTTTAGGGTTTCGGGTCTAGGGTTTAGGGTTTAGGGTTTCGGGTTTCGGGTTGAGGGTTTCGGGTTTAGAGTTTAGGGGTGTGGGGTTTAGTGTTTAGGTTTTAGGCTTTCGGGTTTAGGGTTTAGGGGTTTAGGGGTTTAGGGGTTTGAGGGTTTAGGGTTTCGGGTTTAGGGTTTAGGGTTTCGGGTTTCGGGTTTCGGGTTTAGGGTTTAACGTTTAGGATTTAGGATTGAAGGTTCAGGGTTTAGGGTTTAGGGTTTCGGGAATAGGGCCGTTTAAGGTTCAGGGTTTAGGGTTTTGGATTGAGGGTGACTCTAGGTGGCCGGAGTTTCGATCACCTCAGTGAGAGGAGAGTTCAGGCCGGATTGCTTAGCACACCCTGGGATGGACCCATGTTTCGAAGGGCTTTAGGAGGGACCCTGGTCCCTATTAGGGGTCCCGCCTAAAGTCCTTAGAATGTTGTACTACATGGGCCGGAATAATGACCTATATTATTTTGGGGGTTCCTTAATACGATTATAGCAGAATATACCCCCAGACCCTATTCTAATTATTAAGGCCCCTAAACCCCAAACCCTTATAGTAGTCCTTATAGAACCCTTTAAAGGAACCCTTTAAAGGAACCCTATTCTAGTTATTAAAGGCCCCTTTTATGAAGGCCCCTACATTACCTCAGAGGGGTTTTGCAGAACTCTCACACAAGAGCTACCCGTTAAGGAACCCTTAAAGGAACCCCTTATTCAGGGTTTAGGGTTTGATTTTCAGGCCCCAAAGCCTAAACCTAAACCTTAAACCCTAAACCCCAAACCCTAAAACCCTAAACCCCTAGACCCTAAACCTCCCGAAACCCTAAACCGTAGAAACATCACACCGAATCGTTGGAAAGGCTGGAAGCCGACAACCTCCCTAAAACCCCTAAAACCCTAAAGCCTTCGGGTTTCGGGTTTAGGGTTCAGGGTTTAGGGTTTAGGGTTTAGGGTTTGAGGTTTAGGGGTTCAGGGTTTAGGGTTTAGGGGTTCAAATTTTAGGGTTAAGGGGTTTATTGTTTAGGGTTCAGGGTTTAGGGTTTAGGGTTTAGGGGTTTAGGGGTTTAGGGGTTTAGGGAGCCAGCCTCCATGAGCAGAGCCTGGGTGGAGTGCAGGCGCTGCTCAAAAAGTGGAGGGCGGACGATGGCGAAGCCTGGCAAAGCTTGGCAGCAGGGCTGGACGAGTCGGTTGAGGGCTTCGGGCTTTTGGTTTTCGGGTTTAGGGTTTGGGGTTTCGGGTTTAGGGTTTAGGGTTTAGGGGTTTAGGGGTTTAGGGTTTAGGGTTTAGGGTTTAGGGTTGAGGGTTTAGGGTAAGGCTGGTTTGGGGTCTTTGTCGTTCAGGGTACCCGGTTCTAGGAGTGGGTGGAGGATTTGCCACTTTCTCGTTTGTGGTTGCGAGGTTTCTGTTGACATTTCAGAGAAACTCTGCAAGTAAGAAGCCACCGAAGTGACCACAACCACCCTAAACTTACTAAACCCTAAACCCTAAGCCCTAAACCCTAAACCCTAAACCCTAAACCCTAAACCCTAAACCCTAAACCCTAAACCCTACGGCGTCCGAGGCTCTGACGGCTTTCCTCTACGTCTTCTCCGTCGCCGCGGTTCATCTGTCCGCTGGCAGCTGGCCAGCGATCGTTCTGCTGGCCTTCTCACTGGTGCGCAGCTTCATTGCCGCTTCGGCAGAACTTTGGGTTTAGGGTTTAGGGTTTAGGGGTTTAGGGGTTTAGGGTTTAGGGTTTAGGGTTTAGGGTTTAGGGTTTAGGGTTTAGGGAACTTTGTGTGCCTGCGGCTGTGGCTAAGTCACGTCAAGTCATTCACTCAATAGCCCTGATAAACTATATGTCGGCTGGAGACGGTACAAAACAAAACGGGGGTCTCCAACATGTGGCTGCATGGACCAAGAGAACCGGCTTGACAAGGCCAGGGGTATCCGAGCACGTAGCTGCCAGGCAGTTCCCTGAACCCTAAACACCTAAAACCCTAAACCCTAAACACCTAAACCCCTAAACCCTAATTCCTAGATCAATTCTCAACCCAACTTCCTGAAGCCTCAACCCAGCTCTAAAACCCCTCTCACACCACTTAATTTATCCTGTAACCCGCAAGTCGTAAGCCCTAAAGCCTGAACCCTATACAAGTCTTGAGCACTAAATCTCAAATACAAAACCAGGACCCTAAACCTTAAAATCTAAACCCTAAACCCTAAACTCTAAACCCTAACCCCTAAACTCTAAACCCTAAGCCCTAAACTCTAAACCCTAAACCCTAACCCCAAAGCCTTAAAAGGCCTTAAAGCAGGGGGCCTTCCGAGGTGTTCCACGACGCAGCGCACCCGTCGTTCTTCGAGAAGGCAGAGGACAACAAGCTGCTCCTTGGATTCCTTGAAAGCTGTGGGGTTTGGGGGATACAGTATGGTTTAGGGTTTAGGGTTTAGGGTTTAGGGTTTAGGGTTTAGGGTTTAGGGTTTAGGGTTTAGGGTTTAGGGTTTGGTTAAACCTAATCCATCAACCCTAAACCCTAAACCTTAAGGCTTTAGGGTTTAGCGGTTTGGGGTTTAGGGTTTAGGGGTTCACCCTAATCCATCAACCCTAAGCCCTAAACCTTTAGGGTTTAGGGGTTTGGGGTTGAGGGTTTGGGGTTTAGGCAGAGGGCAACACGCTGCTCCCAGGATCGGTTGAGGTTTCCTTGTAGGGGTTCCTCTAAGGGCTAACGGTCATAAGGGTAATATGGGTAGTTTTCTAAATTAGGGTCCCTTTTAGGGTTCATATTATAAGGGTGCCGTGCTATATTGGGGACCCAAAAACGGACCCTAATTTAGAGAACTACCCATATAGAGGCCTAAATGGTTACCTATATTATTTCTTGGGGCTCCTTATGAAAATTATAGTATCATCGCCCCCAAAACCCTATTATAATTATTGAGGCCCCTATATTTTCTACACGGATCACGAAAAGGGTTATCTAAACCCTAAACTCTAAACCCTAAACCCTAAACCCTAAACCCTAAACCCTAAACCCTAAACCCTAAACTAAACCCTAAACCCTAAACTAAACCCTAAACCCTAAACTCTAAACCCTTATGGCAAGGAGTCTGGCAGGCCCGCCATAAGGGTTGAGGGTTTAACATTCAGGGTTTAGGGTTTGGGGGGCTGCACAGGGTTTAGGGCTTGGGGTTTAGGGTACCCTATACCCTAAACCCTAAACCCTAAACCCTAAACCCTAAACCCTAAACCCTAAACCCTAAACCCTAAACCGACCTTATCTTCAGCTCTAGACCCAAAACCCCCCAAAAAAAACATGAGGATGAAGGCCTAGGATGCAGCATCCGAGGCCCCTCATCAAACCTTTAGGGTTTAGGGTTTAGGGCATTAGGCCATTGGGGCATTAGGAGTTTATGGCTTCCTGCTGGGTGTGGATGTTACGGTTTAGGGCGTAGGGGCCGCTATGGCATGTCTTTTGGATTCATGATAGGCGCCCTTACAGGAGCCCTAGACCCTGAACCCTAAACCCTAAACCCTAAACCAATAACCCCTCAAAGGAACCCCGAAACCACTGCGGAATTTCGAGCTTGATTCCTGCAATGTATCCGAGGTTGGGGCAGGTCCTGCAGTTCTTCGTGAACTACAGCCGCTTGACTTTAGGTTTGTTTCAGGGTTTCGGGTTTTAAGATTATCCATGTTATTTTCCAGGGTTCCTGATTACATTTATATTTTCAAGGAGCCCAAAACCCTATTCTAATTATTAGGGCTTCTACATGAACCCAGCTTCCGTGACCTGTGATCGCCAACAACAGTGGTAGGAACGGCTTTTTCAGCACTTCCACTTCTACTCCCGCTGCCGCTGCTACTGCTGCGACAGTTACTGCCTCCACTTTGCTACCCTAAACTTCCGAGCCGAGACCCTAACCCACTCTTCATCAAATCCTGAATTGAACCCCGAAACCTAAGCCCTGTGTCGCAGGCCTTAGCTGCCATACCTACACCCCAAACTTTGAAGAAGCCCTGTAGTATCCCTTACAGCATCCTGTGTAGTATCCCTTAGTGAAGTCCTTGCCGTCTCCCTCACAGAACCCTTACAGTATCCCGTGGTAATTAAAATAGACCCTTATAGTATCCCTCACAGCAGAAAATTATCCCCTAGAGGAAGCCTCAGCCTCAAACCCCAAAGCCTCAAACCTGGTTCAGGGTTTGGGGTGGTTTGGGTTTAGGGTCTCGGGTTTAGGGTTTGCAAAGCCGCCCGAGCTTGTCGGGACCAGGCATGGATGAGTGGAACCAGATCCACAACTCTCACCACAACCACTTCGGCAGCTCGGCCTGTTCAGAGAAGCATTCTACTTTAAAGCAGGTTGAGGGTGGAGGGTTTAAGGTTTCGGACTTACGGTTTGGGGCAGGGTCTGTAAGGGTTCGAGAATGGACATCAGGGCAGGTTAACTGTAATTGTGTGAGAGCTGGGGCTTGAGGTTTAGGGCTTTCGTTAGTTCCACATAGTAAGACTATGCTTTGGGTTCATAATGGCTTTGAAGGGGTTTAACCAGAGATGCAGGAACATCTGGGGCCCCAGAGTCCTATATGCAGTGGCTTATCTGCTTCCTCAGGTGGGGTTCTTCAACAAACAGCCCCTTGTCTAGGCGATTATAATATTGGCAGGTCATATTATTTACCGTCACATTTCGTAGCTTCGGAAAGTTGTACTAATATTGTGACTAGTGGTTATAACCCTAAACCCTAAACCCGAATATTGTGACTAGTGGTTATAATTATACTTCATGTCAGCACTCCGGATCAGAATGCCTCTAAAAGGCCGGCAGGCATGTCCTACTTAACAATACCATCCGCTTTTGGTTCCTTGTATAGTTCATACAGGGGCCTGAGTTATTACTTTTTTGGTGGAGTTCCTACTTCAGTTATAGTATACTGTACTTCCAAACCCTATGCTAATTATTAAGGCCCCTAAACCCAAAACCCTTATAGTAACCCTTGTAGTATCCCCTTTAAGGAGCCCTTTAGAGGAACCCTAGTCTAATTATTCAGGCCCCTAAACCCGAAACCCTTATAGTAACCCTTATAGTATCCCCCTTTAAGGAACCCTTTAAAGGAACCCTGTAAAGGAACCCTAGGCTAGTTCTTAAAGGCCCCTATATTAGGCCCCAAAAGACCCAAACCCCCTAAACCCTAAATCCTAAACCCTAAACCCTAAACCCTAAACCCTAAACCCTAACCCTAAAACCTTAACCGTCAGGGGCGGGGTAGAGGGCCTTAGTACCTGTAATAAGGACCTAATCAGGCCGATTTAAGGAAGTATCGTGCCCTTGTCCTCTTTTGCTTACCCTTCTAAGGGTCCCTATGACAAAACCCCTAAGCCCTGTGTTGTCTGCCCTAAACCCTAAAACCCTAAACCCTAAACGCAAGCCTGTTGGGTGCCGGGTTTCTACAGGGGTGGACCGGGCAATCTCAGAGCTTTGCAACTTTGTGTCCAGGGTTTAGGGTGTGATGATTTGGAATTCGGGTCTAGGGCAGAAAACGCTCAAACTCAAAGAAGCCCTGAAGACAAAGCGCCCAACACACCAATGAGCCTAATCCCTGCACCCGATACGACGTCCCTCGATGGAGTTTCTTGCATCGCTGTAGCACTGAGAGCACGTCTTCGATTCACTTGTCCAAGTTCCACAGCAGACACCTCCGCTTTGTACTATTACTATTTTGGGGGGGTCCTAATTATAGTTATAGTGTATTGTACCCCCAAACCCTATGCTAATTATGAAGGCCCCTATATCAGCCCCCCAAAGCCACGCCGCAAGGTGACAATACAGTGAAAGACAACTCGTCGCTCGGCCAAGGCCAGAGGCAGGCAGATATTTCTTCAGCCTAACCCAAACACGCGGGTTTAGGGTTTAGGTTTTAGTGGTTTAGGGTTTAGGGTTTAGGGGTTTAGGGATTAGGGGTTTGGGGGTTTAGGGGTTTAGAGTTTAGGGGTTTAGGGGTTTAGGGTTTAGGGTTTAGGGTGTAGGGGTTTGCGCAAACGCCCAAAATAGAGATCCTGTGTAAGTTCACTGTAATGGTTCTCCTGATGTATAAGGGCTCTAGAGGTTGCTATCTGGTTCTAAAAGGGTTACTTTAAGGGTTACAACAGCGGTTAGACTGTTTAAGGAGTTTGCGTGAAACTTGGTTATCACAAGACATCCCAAAGCATCCAAGCAACGCTTAGGCTGACGATCTGGTTCTGTGAGGAGGAGCTGAAGAAAGGCAGGCCCTCGCATGCTTCCTCTTTCCGGAAGTTTTTACAGCCCTAACCCTAAACCTCCAAACCCTGAGCACTGCCCTAAGCCCTAAATGCCCTGCCCCTAAACCCTAAACCCTAGACCGTAAACCCTAAATCCTAAACCCTAAACCCAAAATCCTAACTCCTCAACCCCTAACCCCTAAACCCTATACCCCATATAGATCCCTTTAAAGGAACCCTAAAACCCTCAACCCTGAGCCCGAAGCCTCGCTACCCGTTGGCCCCTCAACCCTCGACGCCCCCATGGCAGCCCCAACGTGTAGGCTTCAAAAACCCTAAACCTGCTGCCTACACCCTAAACTGTTAAGTTATGCTATACTATCTTAATACTATATTAAAGTATATTCTACTGTGCTAATTTTCACTATGCTTTATATTTCATTATTGCATTCTACTAAGTTGTACGATACTATTTTGCTATATTATATTATACTAAACTGCCCAATACTGTATTATCTTATTTCTATGTTGCTATACTATACTATACTATACTATACTATACTATACTATGCTATACTATACTATGCTGTACTGTACTGTGCTGTGCTAACTATACGTTACTTTACTATGCTATACGATGCTATACTATACTATACTATACTATACTATACTATACTATACTATACTATACTATACTATACTATACTATACTATACTCTATTACACTGTACTGTACTATACTATACTATACGATACTATATACTATGCTATACTACCCCTAGGGGCCACCCCTAGACCAGAGTGAGGCTGCGGAGATTGTCAATGCGCCTGGACTTTAGGCTGACTGAACACGAAGCCATGAAGCCCCCGAATCTAGGGTTTAGGGCTTTCGGGATTGAGGGTTTAGGGGTTTTGGGGTTCAGGGTTTTGGGGGTTTAGGGCTTTGGGGTTTGGGGTTCAGGGTTTAGGGAACCCTACACCCTAAACCC